GTTCAAGGCGGGGCCTGGGCCAGGGGGGGGGGGGGGGCCCCTCCCCCCCCCCCCCTGTACTCCTTCCCTGCCCGGGGTCCTACCTCCCTCCCAACCCCCACTTACCTGAGCTTCCCGTGCCGCCGGGGCAGCCATGTGGTCCCAGCCCAGAAACAGCAGGTGGGGCTTCTGGCTGGGGGGTGGGGCCGGGTGGGCCCTGCTCTTGGAGCCTGCCAGACTTCCCCTGGGTCCTACTGCCCTTGGCTCCTGTCATTTTTGAAGGAACCAAGGGCAGAGAAATATTAATGTTCTACATTTTTTTAGGGGCCTCGCAGGCCGGATAGAATGACCTTGGATCTGGCTCGTGGGCCATATTTTGCCCACCCCTGGTCTAGAGACAACATGCAAGGCAAGGATTTCTTAGGGTGATATCTTTTGCTATACCAACTGTGTAGTTGGGATAAAGTTACACAAGCTTTTAAATGCAAGATGTTCTTTGTCAGGTGAGACAAATAGGTGAGACCTGATCGATCTCTCTCTCTCTCTCTCTTTCTCTGTAATTTAATCATCTTAAATGTTCATTATATCTCAGATTTCTTTTACCTATGAATTTTACCCATCAGATCTCACTTATCTTCTATTTTCCAGCAGTCAGTATCCTTGCTGCTCAGGAAAAAAACTCTACCAAAAATCAAAGGCAAAAACATTTTTCTTTTCCTTCTACTTCATTGCCTCTTTATTGAGTGTCTCACGTAGGGCTGGTCACAGTCAGTGGAGGGTTCCGATCCAATTCGGAGAAATTAAAGGGTCTCCTGATTCAGTTCGGATTCGGAGATTCAGCCATTGAATCGGGCTGAATATCCACTGAATTGAATCTGGGACCAAAGCTTTGCGCAGTCCTAGTAAGCAACCTTTTAGGAACAGCACACTGAATTGATGGAGCTCAGTCGAAAGACAGGGTTTTGCCTGTAACCTAGCTACCAAGTACTTATAACACAGCCATGACTGATGTCCCAGCTTCAT